GCATCAGAAGAAAAATTACTATTATTAAAATAAAATAATGTTTGTTATTTCAGTTTGATCGTAGCTGCCTAACATAAAATTTACCCCCCCATGATAAAACAAAAAATCCCTGTTTGACTGTCAAACTCTCATGCAGAGATAGAAAATAAACTTTCTAATTCTTTCGACATTTTTACTATTGTCTTTGATTTTTTTTTTCTCCTTGCTATATTTGTGGTGCAAAGGAATAAATCTTGAAAGTAAAGTATCCCCTCCAGCAAAATATTTTACTCCATTTGCCTTGGAGAATTCCACTGCAGGGGAGAGAAAAGGAAGCAAGAAAAGAGCCTTGCAGAGTAGCTGGAACAGCTTCAAATTCAATAGCCTATGAGATTTTCCTTTCTAAATATAACAGTTCAATAGATCAGTGGTCAATATGAATGTTATCTGCAAGCTGAAGCTATTAATTGCTGCACCACTGTTCCAGATGCCAAATGATAGCCTAATGTTTTATATGCCAGCATTCTCACACATACATTCAAAAAAACATTAGGCAAAAAAAATTCAGCAAGTGGTGCTGGTGCTCCTATGTTAAAACCAGCTGCTAGATCACAGTACAGAATGTTTAATTTTTTTTGCTTTTCTTTATTTAAAAGGTCTTTTGACAAATGGTCACCCTGAATGGAAGAATGTTTCTGACATTGAGGTGAGAATTTCTACAGCTTCTTCACAAAGGCTGGAGAAACAAGACAGAAAATAATGCCTTAGAATAACTCAACTCCATTCAAAACTCATAGTAAGACATGGCACATGTACTGAGATAGCAAAAAGTTGAAAGCTTACAGCAAATAAAATTTGAAATGGAAAGTGTATTAGGCCCTGGGAGAAGACCAGAAATTAACATCTGACCCTGGCTCCAGTGGCTGCTCCAGCAGAGGCAGTGCTGGGAGAAGCTGTACTCCATTCCAGGCTCCCAGGGTCAGGCTGGGGCTGGTGCAGGGGATGCAGCAGAGCTGTGACCTGGCATGCAGCATGGCTGCCTGAGACCTGCCAGTAGCAGAAAAGGGAGGTGAGCTCCTTTGCTGACTCTCAGAGGTGACAGGCATGCGGGAAGAAATAGTGCACAGCATTTACAAGTCTGAAATGTGCGCCCCTGTCCTCATCTGTGAACCCTTATTTTGGAAAGTAGCAGCCTGCATGTGTTGCAGCATCTGCAAGTGACAAGGCTGACTCATCGACCGCATCACATTTTCCCACGGTTGGTGTTTAGGCTGTGGGCTGCTGCCCTGCTAGGTCCTGGCTTAAAATACATTTTAAAATACTTGACCTCCCTTCTTATTTCTGGTCACCATTCTGAATAACCTTTCCTATGCACAGTTCACATTCCTTAGGAAGAGTTATCCGCATCCTAGTGCTAGCATTTGCTCTTGGGAGTTCATTTATGGCTGTCCAATAACTAAAGGGCACCGAGAGTTGTGTCACATGTTTCAGACTTGATCATAACACAGAAAGTCTAAACACAGCAGTCAGTGTGTACAGCCCACCATGTCACTGGGTCATTTTGCACCTTCAGATGTATTGCATAAAAATCTGCAGAAGCAGGTCTGCAATTTTTTTCTTGTAAACAATACAAAGAGACATTTTTACCCCACATCTCTAAGCAAGAAAAGTCAATCACATCCTCCAGAAATCCACTGAGTTGAGGTTATCTGAGTGCAAGGTGCTAACCTGTTGGGCCATGTGCTTGAAATTAGTACTTCCTTGGGGAACCAAGGCTGGACAACTAGTTCTGAGATGTGATTTGGCTCGATACTCTTACTTTATGTGTTTCAGCGGTGCTTCAAGAACCCGGAGAAAACTTCTGGGAGAAAACATCAGAGAATTGCCGTGGGTAGAGGGAAAACACTGTTAAGGAAACCAATTAAGGAGAGGAAAAGAGCTCAAAAGGTTTGCTCCCAGTTGTACTGAAGCTGGTTATTCTGTTTCGAATCACGGCTGCTGAGCTGGTTTTTTCTATTACAATATTTGTGGTTGCAGTCAGGCCAGAAGTGCATATTAGCACTCAGAGGACCTTATTCTTGTCTTTATTTCTATCTTTTGAGTGACGACTTTATTTAAGCAAACTGACACCTCTACGCCATTACCCTGGATCTGTTTTCTTCTACTCAGGTTAGTATCTCTGCCAGTTTCTTTACCATTTTCTCTCACACATTTTATTGTCAACTCTGGTTCAAAGGTTTATTTATTTATTTCCTCTTGCCAGTGCCTCCCGTTTCAGTCACTTTAGGCAAGTCAGGTCAACCTGAGCTGCCTATAGCAGCCTATCATTCTGGTGTATTCATTCCACCCAGCTTTGACAAGGCTTTTCTCTAGGTCCTCTCACCCCAAATTAGTCTTAACCTTGAAGATTATATTGTGATTTTATAAGATGGGTTTTTTCTTTCACTCATTCATCTACCTAGATCTAGTTCTTGTTGGGATTCTCTCCATCTACCTAGATCTAGTTCTTGTTTGGATTCTCTCCATCTACCTAGATCTAGTTCTTGTTGGGATTCTCTCCATCTACCTAGATCTAGTTCTTGTTGGGATTCTCTCCATTTACCAGTTTGATGGCCTTCTTTTCTAGGTACATGTGCTCCTACTTTTAAATATACAAACCTGGACAGCTCTGTCATAGAAATGCCTTCGCCTTACACACCAGGTTTTGATGTGCTGTATAGAATAGTGCAAGCCACTCAAAAGATGATTTTCAAAGTTTATTGTTTACTTAAACAATTCTCATGTCCTGGAAACTCGGTGTGGGTGATTTATTTATTAATATCACTTTGCTGATTTAGATTTAGAATTTATATTTCTCACAATATATCCCATGTATGAATAATAAATATAACTGAAATAATAACAGATTTACTATTTTTATGATCGGTTTATGTCCCCATGTGATTCTAATAAGAACCACCCAGGTTGGGAAAGAAGCCATGAAGTTTTAGAATGTCTGTACTCTAATCCTAATCCTCCATTGCAGAGCAAAATCCACCTATATGAAAATATCATATGGAAACCAGAGACCTTTAAGTTTTTACTGATGCTGTCCCAAATGGAGGTATGTATGTGAACACTGCTGAGCTCAGAATTACGGTCCATGACTAGAAGTAACATATGCAGTGCCAGAGGACCTTGTCCATTACAGAGGCAGTTTTAACATATTTATGCTTTACTCAAATGTATGGCTAATGATGATTCCCAAGCATTGCCCTGGCACTCAGGGACTGCTGGAAAGCAAAACTCTTTTATTTTAGCCAAATTATTTCGAGCAGAGAAACAGTGAAGAAGGATGTTTTGTTGGTCCTGTGCTCCTCATCATTTCTCCCAGGGATTTTTAATTTACAGAGCCTGTTGAGTTTCTGGTAACATGCTTTTGTGGATTGCTACAAAAAGGGCTCTGTATAACTTGGAGTCTGGCAGAAAAGTTTTCTTTTTAGAGTTTCAACATTCTTTAAAGACATGCTACTTATTTCTGTATTACAGTTTAAGAGCTTTTTTTGATTTGTTGCACTGCATTAGATAAGCAGTCTGGCATAAAAGAGTGTCTAAAAAGTAATTTATGTAATAGAATATGTTGATGGTCTAAAAGAATCTGTTTCCAAAATATGTTTAAAGAAAATCCTTATTTAGTATGAAACCAGAAATAAAACTGAAGCGTTGGATGCAATTAGTAAATTCTCTGAAATGGCCACAGACACGCTTTTGTATCTGTGAGTCTAAAATGACTTCAGGGAAAAATCGTTTTCTCTCTTAAAAGCTAGACAGAAAAAAGGAGTTGAAAAATGTAAAAATGGTTTCTGTAGCATAAAAGCTGAAAGTCAAATCTACAAATGGGATCAATCTGCCTCACTCCTACTGCCTTAATCCAGCACCTCAAGAATCAATGTCTCAAGTCAATCCTTTCAGATGAGGTGCTGATTGAGTTCCAGGCACTTCCAGTGGTAGGAGGAAGGTTGCTTTTGAAAATAAAGGGCCAATATCCTCAGAGGAGTAGCTTTGTTTTATGCAAAATGCTAAAAAAGCCATTTTCTGCCACAGCAGAATGTGGAAGACTGGATGCCTGTTTGTAGAGCAGGACAGAGCTCAACATCATCATCTCCTTTGCCAAATCTTCCTGCTTTTAGTCATGCAAAATTGTTGATGATTTCATGAGAGAATTGTGAATGAAGGGCAGAGTTGAGCAGCATGTCTCTGTTCTCTGTCCTGTCATTTCTGGTTAATCTGACTCTCTCATAAAGTAAACATTACAGAATACTTACTTTTAGAGATCCAATGGGGATATTAGTAAAGCTGGTCACCTAGTCAGAAAGACATAAAAAAAAGATGCAAAAAAAAGAGAAATCTATCTGGTGCACTTCTGAGATATCCAAGTCAAGAATTTAACAAGTGGGAACACTGAGCTTTGTCTTTCTGGCCATAAAAAGCCATATATTTCTGGTAAACAGCCCTTTGGAAAGTACATGATCATCCTGCAGGGCTTTTTTTCTGCAGGTTGTGAGGATCCATCCTGTGCTAAAGTACATTTCCTAGGGACAGTGGACTCTGAATATCATCTGAAAAATATTTGCATCTACAGTGAAGTTACTGGGGCCACAGAAACGCTGTGGTCCTGTTATAGTACCTATCTGTCATCACTTTTGCAAGAAAAGCTGTATGCAAAAATGCTTCCTTAAGAGAAGTTTGGAAAGCCAGTAGTCATATTTTCTAATGGAACTAAAACCAGATTTAGCTTAAGTATTTTGAGCTGTCTCTAGGTTGGGGCAGGCTTGCACTGGAGAATGAATCATTAAAACTGTGTTTCATCTTGAGAATAATCTTCAGGTATCTTGAGATGTGAATTGGTATGATTTCTGTGGAAAGGGCAGGTAGATGACATTTGTGTAGAGACTACACAAAATATTGTGGGTTTACTATTTTAACTATTATTCTTTCTTTTTCACACAGGAATAAGAATTAAATTTATCCTCTGCCCTTACCTGTGTGTTGCTTTCTAGTGTAGACAAGGTATGGTGAATCTCAGCACAGCTCATGAAGCCTTTGGATGTCCTTATGAAGATACACAGAGCAATTTCTTTCATTAGCATGCCTGGAAGTAAAACAAAATATCCATCCAGAGTTTCTCCCAGTCCAGCTTTCAAAAACCCCTGTGGTTGAAAAAATGTTATGGTGGTTGCCAAGTCAGGCACTAAGAAGTTTGTAAATATTAAAATGGAGTCTTCTTTAATACAGCCCTTTCATGTAACTTGGGACTTAGCTTTCAACTGAATAAACATCAACTGAGAATGCAAAATATTGTTGTTATCATTATCTCATTATAGTAGTATATTGCTCAAGAACTTTCCATCATGCAATGTGTGGGATACACATAGAAAATGTGACAAGGGGAATCTTAGCCAGAGGTCCCTTGGCTCACTTCAGGCAGAAGTTGTCCCACTGCACTGAAACTGTCTGATGTTACAGGAATGCTCACTGCAGAAAAGCCAGGGAGAAAATTAAGAAAACATTCTCCAGAGCAAGGTTTGAATGGTTTTCAGTGATTACTTAATATTATATAGTGCTTTATAATAGTTCTGTAATGTTTCTGTATGATGTGAATCAGGTGCCTGAACCTTGTTTCGATCTAGATAGTGCAACTGGAGAGAAGATGACCCAAGATGGATGTGAGATCTGAGCCCTTCTGGAACAGCTGGACAAAAGGGATGCCCCAGGTAGCCAAAGTGACACAATATGTTTATGCACCTCGCTGTTGCTCTGACGATTATTGTTTTGTTTAATGAAAGGAATATGTGAATGAAAGAAGTTACGATGAACAGATAGATTTATTATTTTTTTTTAAGAACAACAATGATGGGTTTTTTCTGAGGAAAGAACTGACTTAATCAGTCTTAAACCAAACCCTTAAATATGGGCTGCTCTTGTGAACTGTAAACAAAATTGACACAATGTCTTCATCTCACTTTTTTTGCCTTCATTATAATCCAAGACACAGTTTCAATTTGGTAACTTGTAGTTACATACCCAGTCTACCAATCTGTCCCTACAGACTGGTCACCGTGTCAGAAGAAATTATACCCACTTTGCCTTGCTCTTGGTTTTGGTGATCCGTGGGTAACATTAGAATTTTCTGTTCTCCTTTTAAAGGTGATAATTTATGCTAACATGGACAGCAAAACAATGAAATGTGGGCTTTCACACATTTACTAAGATGCATTAAAATTCATATTTGATTTAAATTTTGCAAGCTTACTAGCTGTAGGTTTTAACTAACTTTAAAACCTAGAAAAAGGTATTTTAAGCTTTCTTGGATGTTAGGATTTGCTTTTTCTTTTTTGAGGTAACAGCTTTCCATCATAGTTGTACACTTCCAGACTACCCAAAATATTGGAAAATAGGATGCAAGACAGGAGGATGATTCCCCACTTTTCCAGTAACAAAACTGAGGAAATAATTGCATTTTTTCCATGCTGATGCCCATGTTTTCACATGAACTCCTTCATTAAGTTTCTGTTTTTTCTTCAAGCAAAGAATTTAATGTGGTCCAAATAAAATCCAACATATTTAAATGAGCCACATAGCATTTCTAGTTGTTTCATTTTGCTTTGAGTCAGGTTTCAGATCAATATCACTATCACCAGGCAATGCTGGGAAGAGCATATCCATTGAGAACTGGAAAACATTGATTTATTTTACATGTCCAATTAGTTCCATAAATTAAACAACTGTATTCAGGTATGTAACACAGCACTGCCCCTTTCAAAGCTGAGGCACCTGTGAAGAGCTTTCATTTAAAAAGGGGAGCCTCATTTAAAGTGATTAAAGTGATTGATGTTGGGGCAAGTTTGTTGGAAATAAATGCATATTTATTGTTCAACAAAAATTAATCTGTTATTTTAGTTTCTTGGGGGGGGTTGGATTTCTTAGTTCTTTTGGTGCATATTTGGTTTTTTGGGTGGGGGGCTTGTTGGTTTTTTTTTGTTAGTCTGTTCATTTTAAATTAAGCTGTGACTTAACTCTGCCTTGTTAAATGGCTGAAAGACATCAATGTCAAACAATAATGCTGTAATGAGAGGCAATGTCCAAGGTGCAGAAACGTACAGCATCTGAAACATTTGTTTTTTCCTCTGGGGATAACTTGTAGGGTTTTGTCAATGCACAAATATTCACCCAGATGCAGATCAAGCCAATCAGCCTCCTCCTCACAAGGGTGAAGGTTGCCAGGCCAAGCACAAGCAATTAGCTGCGCGATGCTTGCGCAGCCAGCAGCCCTGTCTCTGGCTGATTGCCCTGAGCTCCACTGCTGCTCGTAATGCAAATTGTATCCGGTCCCCCGGTAATCGGGATCAGCGCTGCCTTGTCCGTCCACCCGCTGTTCATGCCCTCTCCACACTGCAATAATGGTTTTGGTGGGCAATCAGGGAAGATGCCTTCTTGACTCATCTCTCATAATAGGTTGTCCTCCTCAGGCAAAATTGAATAACCCCCGACATGGCCTGGAGGCAAGCAGTATGAATTCAATAAGTCTGCAGGGTCAATGTCCTCTCATTTTTGGCAAGCAAGTAATTATTCTGCACTAACATTCAGTAATGGGAGTAGGAAACTGCTGGAGACACCTTCCTCCATAGCCAGAATAACCACCTTAATAGGATATTTCTCTAATAAGTAATTCTTCATCATTCTGATGCCCCTTGCCTTCAGGTTTGCTTTTTATGCACTTTTCACGTATGTATTCTGCAGAGGCTTGTTACCAACAGCATCTGTGGGAAAGTTTAACAACTTCACTGTCTGTTGTTTAATATTTTCCACTTTTATGGGTTGCAGTTGTGCTGTCTATTTGCTTTTACTGATTTGTGAAAGATTTATTATAAACCAAATACAGCTGTTCTCTCCTTTCATAAACTGAAACTATTTTGGCAAAACCTATTTTCCACTATGAAAATAAATTTTAAATTGCTTCCCTCACACAGCTTTCCAAGCATGAGCATCCAGTTGTTATTTAGTGGTGCAGAATAGGTGCCAGGGTGGTTGTAGGCTTACTTAAGAGAAAGAAAATGCCTATGTTTCAAAAATAAACAGCAGAAAAGCTTTTTCTCCTTCCACCCCCATTTTCCAGGGGATTTAATGTTATTATCTGCAGATTTCAAGAGTTATGAATTATAAAGAACTTCTGCAGATTCAAACCATTATTGCACTCTGATTTTGAATTTATGCAGAAGGTTTGTTTAGATACATACTTTATTTTAGATATTTTAGATTTATACTGTATTTAGACCCCATATTTTGTTTAGATACTTGACCTTTACCTTAAACTAATATTGTAAACCTTCTAATATTATTCATTATTTTTTCCATGGAGCTTAAAATAGCCCTCTGCTTACTCTGAAAGCGCACACATTTCATTAAATCAGTTTCCACTGTCAAAATTTGGACCAGTGCACTTTTCCCTGTCATTTTGAAAGGGAATAAAAAAAAAGTTGGGTGTTTTGTGGTTTTGTTTGTTTGTTTGTTTGTTTGTTTTTTTTCTGTTTGTTTGCTTTGGTTTTGGGGTTTTGTTTGTTTGGGTTTTGGGGGGGGGCTGTTGGATTTTTTTTTTTTAAGTTCTAAATTCTTAGGAATATTTTGCTGTGGATTAAAATATCATTTCCCTTTTCCTAAATGGGAAAAGTTATAATTTTGCAATTTTTAAATGAAGTAAGAAATAGAAGGATAGGGCTCCTTCAATAATGCTATTCCTTCAGTCTGTGTTGTCTGATATTTTTCTCTGAAATTGTTTGTGTTTGTATTTTCCTAGAACTGTGTTCTACTGCATATAAACTATTGCTTTAGTCATTGAAAGAAACCATTACCTCTTCTCTCTTGAGAACAGTGTACATATAGTAACGATGATCTTTGTATAATGGCAGAATAGGCACTTTCTATAACTGATTGATGATTGATTATTGTAGGGCTGTCTCCCTGTAGCTGCTTATCAGCTTTTTGATGAGAAGCTTTTATTCCCAACATGAAAAATCTGTTTTGAACTGTCTGTTTACTAGCTGGGACCAACTTAGGCTGACATTCTTCATGTCCAGATGCCAGGGTTGATTTAGACTGCAAGTATAAGAAAATCCTGTGCTAGACCCAATTTTTTGTGCAATGTTTGTCACCATTGGTGCGGCTTTACCATCTTGCACCAATAGCAATTGTTTTTTTCTTTATTCCATACTTTTAATATGCTATTTGCAATACAGCTTCAATATGATTTAATTTACCATTGGAATGTTCTCCTCGTTAGCATGTTGACAGCCCTGTGTAAGATTCATCTCCACTTGTTCATTTGCCAGCTTGGCTCTGTAACGCCTGCTGCTTCAGGCTTTGGCTCACAGAGGGATTTTTCTTCAATAGTACAAAGTTACCTTTTCTAGTCCTTCAGTCAAAGCGCCCAAGATTCACGGTGCTTGCACTAAAAGCTTACAAACGCATATATTTGGACTAGAAAAAGGTTTCTTTGTGTGTGTCACTCCATTGCAAAAGAGGAATGGCTTTCTGTACAGATCTGGACTATTGGGAACCTCAACAAAGGAGGGACATAATTCATGGAAATAGTCATGGAATTGTTCTGGGCTGCTGCAATGACTCTTTTAGATGCAGCTCCATGTGTGTGTCTTGGACCCCTCTGTAGTATGTAACACAAAAACCATCAATTTTTTAAGCAGGGAAAATCATTGATTTCAACTTCTGCTCAAAAAATGTTGGCACAAGAAGACCTAAAGAAAGAAATACGCTTTCCTTAGTACAGAGGTTCTAAGAAAGACTGTCCTCATTGCCTGTGGCCAGAACAGCTATGTTTATAAATGTGCATTTCTGAACATCTCAGGTTTTACCTAATGATGCAACTAAGCTCTTATCTATGGCTTGTGATTTCAATGAAATTATATCAAGCTCTCCACCTTGACTAGAAATACCCTTTTTAAAAAATTCATTGTAAATACTGATGTACTTGTGCACATACATCTATGTCAGTGTTTTATTTTAAAGTGCATTTTAGAATAAGAGAAAGCTGGAAAAGGTTTGGCAGTTGTAAAACATATGGATGCCGAACCCAAAGGTTATAAAGAGGCACTGAACTTCCTGTTCTTACCTTGTTAAGTTTATCTTCTGTGCTTTCTACAGCCTCTTTAACTCATAAGTATATGTACTGTATTTTACCTCAGGCTTTCGAAGGTATTTAGTTTTAAATCAGTTTAAATATGACAGATAAAAATTAGGACCTGATCCTGTAAATCCTTTTTTTGCTGGACTTGTCTTTATAAGCCTAAATTTTCCTGTTGATAAATGAATGCTTGTGCAGTGCTTTGAAATATCTGCATGGTTATTATTGACCTGAAGTGACTACTCATGTGCAGAAAGGTTTCAAGGTCAACTTCTTATTTTTTTTTTTTTTAAATAGAAACTTAAATTTGAACACAACACATTGGGTTGGTTTGGGTTTTTTTTTTTTTTTTTTGCATGTATTTTACACATGTTGTGCTGACTAAAACTACTTAAAATTCCCACCACCAGCATGTTTTTAGCTTTAGTCAGTGCATAAACGTTACTGACAGTAGCAAAATGTTTCTTTAATTTGGATAGAGAATAAAGAAAGTAGGCTTATAAAAACTGTACTTTATCATTTGCTGGCACAAGATTTCGAGTCTTCTTCTTCCCCTCTCCCAGCTGTCTCTCCTTACTTCTGCTTTTATTTAGTCCAAATTTCCTGCTGTTTCTTAAAAGTTTGTACATCAACTATTAATGTCCTTTGAATTGCTTGGGTTTGCCTTTGTTTGTCATATCAATGCTACTGTGAAGCATTCCAGTTTTAAACCTAAAGACAACACATTACTCCAGAGATCTGCTAGTGAGCCTGACTTTTTTTTTTTTAATATTACTTTCATCTTTTCCTAGCTTTTTAAGTAATAGCCAAGTGTACAAAAACCCCATCAGAAGAACAAAGCCCCAAACTTCAGAATTCTTGCATTCAAAAATGAGTAAAGATTCCATAGACTTTGTCACAAGGAATCTCTTACCATATGCTCCAAGACAGATATAAGGGAGGCAACAAGCTGCAACGTAAGTACCAGAGACAAAGGTGCCAGCAAAGCCAAAGGAGCCCCATGGAAGTCAAGCATTCAAAGCCAGGTTCTCACCTCTGACCCTCTAGTGTGGGCACAAGAGAAGAGGGACAGAGATGTCTGCGTCACTTAACTTCCTTGCTTAAGGGGATGTTAGGAGTGTAATATTATTTCCTGGCATAGATTTTTTCCCACAGATGTATTTGGGTAGTTACACAGATGGTTATTTCCCACTGATGTCAGAAATGAGGAGGTGAAAGGCAATAAAAGTGAGGTAGTTCTGTACTCAGCATTCATCTTTAAAAAAGTAATTGTGGAAAGATGTGTTTTCCTTAAGCTCTGCAAGTGGAGTTCACATAAGAATGAGTAAACATAAATATAAAACCTAACATTATAGCATGCATTACAGTGAACTATTGATATTGGAAGGTGGCTTAAGTAGTGCTATGCATGACTGTGGGCCAAACTCAGCACTAGGGGTAACAATTTCCTGACTTTGTATTACTACTTTTGTCTGACATTTCTGTGTGCCATCTGCATTTCTCCTGTTCGTTTCCTGTGATTCTCTCTTTTCCTCCTGGTTTTTATCTCTTTCTTATTTATTAGGATTGTGGGGGGTTTGGTTTGTTGTTTGGGTTGTTTTTTTTTGTGTTTTGTTTGTTTGTGTGTTGGTTGGTTTTGGTTTTGGGGTTTTGTTTTGTTTTATTTGAATTAATTAAAAAGAAAGCATAAAATATCATATTAATACATGATTTTTATTTCACCTGGCTTTGTTCCTCCAACCCTACCCATCATTCTTCCTTGCTCTTGCCAGTGCTTCTGTATGTCATGCTCTAGAAAACTGCAATGAAGTGTATTTCGTATTAAATACCTACAGCTTTCTTTGTTTCTTTTATTATTGTTGTTCCTGTTATTGTTTCTTACTGTTATTGTTATTTCCTTTTACTATCATTATGAATCAGAGACCAGTCATGGGACAGGAACTTGTTTGACTACTTGCTGTACCAGTAGAGAGAAAGAGATGAGTCCCTAGAGTCAAGCATTTCCAATACCTGAGTATCAGATGAGAGAAATGGGTGGATGCAGGCAGTGGAGGGAACACTGGAAAACAATGGTCAGCACCCCAAGCAGTGGCAGAGCATATCCCCAAAGCAGTTGTTGTCAAGGAGAGCTTTAAAGATGAACTGGAATAGGTTAAGGAAGTAATTTCACAGGTATCTATGGGTATAAACTTTATCTGCAGCATAGTAGAAAGTATGCAGATAACATATTTCTATGCCTAAGAGGAATATGAGAGAGATTGAAGACCCAAGGCATAAGTCAATCATTTGATAATGTATGAACACGGGTGGTGAAGAGCTCTGAAAGAGAAGACAAACAGGTTATGCACTGCAGAGAATGTGAATGCACAGGGGAAGCAGCCATTGGCGAAGCAATGAAAATTATTTTAGCATGCTATTTGGGGCAAATATATGTTCCTCAAACTGGCATTTCCCTTGTCCAAGGATAAGGGAGATACCCAAATGTCATTGGACAGGCAGATAGGTAAGTCTGCATTCTAACCATGTGTTGTAGAAAGCAGAGACAAGACTTGAATGTAAAGAAAATATATCTAGTAAAAAATTTCCTGCTCAAATTTAAGAGGTGGGAGAAAAAATAGAAAGTTCTTTGTTTTAGCCATTCTGAGATGATGATTTGTCAGAACAGCGAAGTTGAATTCCAGTTTGGCTGGCAGCTCTGAAGCGGAAAGTTAACTGTGTGTGTCAACAGCCTGAAGACATTACCTGCATTTAAATTTTTTTTGGTGGAAGATCAGCCAGTGATAAAGTGTAAAATAAAGAGAAAGGAGATTCAAGAATAGCTTTTATTAGGCTCTCCACAGAAACCTTAGAAAAGGGATGAGAAAGCTCCTGCCAAAGAGGACAACCAAAGGAAAAAAAGTGAAGAGATAAATGAAGAATCAGGTGTAGAGGAGCCACAAAAACTAAAGGGCAGAAGAACTGCCCAGGATCAACTGAGTCGGAAAGCAGAAAAATTGGTGACATTCAGTTGAGTTCAAGATTGGGCTGGGAAACGCTGACAGCTGCAATACACACATTTCACAACATGTGTAGGAAACCCCTTACCTGACCTTGTTTATGAATCTTCAAGTATATTCATACACTGACAAGCAGCCAAGTTGTGTGAACAGGTGACACCAAACTCCTTGCTGTTTATGGTGTCTAAGGTCCATACTGCAGGGACCTGCGTTAACCAGTTTAAATGATATTTAGTAATCTCTCTGATGCTCTCAACTTCTATGATTATAATGTCCTATGGCTTCCAAATAAGATTGTCGAAGAGGTCAGGTAGAGGTAGGTGGTTTCAATTTACCATAAGGCACAAGAAATGATCCTGAGAAGGGTAGAGTACTGTCTCCTCTATTTTGTCCCAAAAAAAATAATACTAAACCAAAACTATTTAATACCACAAGAGGTTATTATTTTTTTAATATTTGGAATCCTCCCTTTTAATTTCATATCTGTACAACCGCCATCTATTTCACCGTTATTTCCTCTTCTCCAGAAGTGACTTATCAGCAACTCATTTCGTCAGCCTGTTTTCACCCTGTCTTTCCACATACTGGTCTTGAACTGAGTCTAGAAATTTTACATGAGGTAAGGATGAAAATGAAATGCTCTGAAGGTAATTTTGGTGCTTATTTAGGCTCCTAACTATCATTTGGCAATTAGATGGGCATTTTAGAATTTAGATTAGAGATGAATGGAGAAGAAGAGTATAAAACTTGATGGCAAGAACTACAAAGACACAGTCTGTTCTCTGTGTCTTTGCAATGCTTTGCAGCTCTGGCCACTGCCTCCTGTTGCAGAGAATTGATTTCAGTTGAAATGAGCGTGATGTAGTGACTCAGACATCTGATCCACCACAACAGGTGAAGTAACTCATTTTTATTCCCAAATTGAACGTTTCCAAGTGAGAAGAAGAAAAACACTGTTGTGAAACTTATTCTTAAAAGAGTTAGCTGGCTTCCTTTTGGATGAAAAGTGGAGTACGCATGAGCAATATCATAAATCTCATAGGAGGTTTTATTTTTAAAACCACACTCAGTGGCACACAATAACTTTCCATTGATAGATTTGCCCACTAATTTCTTAGAAAATACTTCAATGTGTTTTTTTAGACATTGTGTGCATTCTTGTTTCTACTTTAAAAATAAAAATGTAGCAACACTAATGGTGAAAAATAAGAGGAAAACCTGACATTACAGCCACATGTCTAAGATATGAGTCCCCTATGCAAATACATAGTAATTACAGACTTAGCTTGTGGGAAAAGGGGATGGTTACTATATACAACACTGTGATTAAAGCATCTGTTACTAGTCTGTTAATTTTATTTTTTTTAATGTAACTGTGGTGTACATGATCTGCATGATTTCTACTTCTCTTATATTCTCAGGAAGTCTAAAATGGATATGATGTGTTTTGAGTCTCAGCTGGAATGCAGATTCAGCAACATCAAGCTGGAAAAGAAATAAATAGTATTTAATACAGATATTGGAAAAGGGCTAATTTAGAACCTACATGGTGACAGTGGGTGCATATAGGGCTGGGTAAAGCTTACTGAGCTGAATTCTTTGCTGCTGTAAACAGTGTGGGCTGGACTTCACAATTCTGACTTTCAGTGATTTAATCATGTCAGATTACTCTCTCTCAGGTTCTGACCTAAAATAAGAATAAGTTGTCCTCCAGCAATGTAAAACTCCCTGGCTTCTTAAAATTTAGAAAAGTGAAGCCAGTGTAACATAAGTGGTTTAGTTGTCACAAGTGGTGCAGGGTTGTAGCACTGGCTGAAATGGTCAATTTTGTTTTGTTTTTATAAAGAGGAACAAAAAATATTTAGTTTTGTTCCTCTTTATAAAGAGTGTGGTTATCCCTCCTGAAGGGATGAAAAAACAAAAGTAATATTCAGCTGGCTATTGATGGCGAGGGTTTTCCATGGATGGAATAGGCTCAGCATTTACAAATCAATGGAACTGATTGCCACCTTTTTTAATTTGCACTCAGATTAATTTCAGAAAGGTGAAACCCTGTTTGCTGAATGGTTATGCATGGCTCCAACACAGAAATAGCAAAAAACTTCCATCACCAAACTTTTACAGGCAGGAAAGGGGGCTTTTTGTCTGTTCTCCTGTGTATTTCCAGGCCCTACACTATAAATATATATTTGTTCCTTTGCTGTTTTTAAAAACATACTTCTTATTGCTTCTATTTTGTGGCTACAGAGAGGGAGTCAGAGCCTCTCTCAGCTGTTCTGCCTGCCCCTCCATAGCCTGATCCCTTGCAAGAAAGTACATTTGCTATTCTGGTTCATATGTCTCATTCTGATGGCACAGATCTCTGTTTTCCTACTTTACATGCTAGTGTGGTTTTTACTAGCTTGTTTGGCTTGTTTATGTGACAGCTTATTCATTGGTTTGATATTTTGCTGTGTGCTTTATTTATGCAGTTGCCTGTTGGGGTCTGGAAAGGATTTCTCATAATGGTAGATTGGCTGGTCAGACTGGATTTTTCAGATTCCTCATAGCGGTGGTACTAAATGTTAGTGATTAAGTATAACCTTATGTCAGATATCAATAACAGTAACCAAGGCTGGTTCAATAATATGTCTAGGGGACCCTTCCTAAAATAAATAAAACATATGGCTCAAACTCATACCTAAAGCTCCCAGGCTTTAGGGACTTAAAATTTAAGCCCTGTAGTCACCTTTACAGGTATTTCTTCCCCAGTCTCACTCTTGGGAATATGAAACCACAAGCACAGAGCGTAACACAGATATTTATATTAAAAATGAAATGAAGCATACCTTGAATAATGCAGTGGAGGCAATACCAGCTTCTGATTCACAATTATTATTTGCCCCTCTGGCTGAGACCTAGTCAGCATTTTTCATATCCACAGGACATTTGCGCTCTCTCAGCTCATCCACCTCTCCTTTCAGTGTGAATTTTAACAGGCATTGGGACGTATGGCAAGTCTTTAAGGGCTATCCTATAGTCCATGGGGTCTGTGGACACCTGGGAGTGTGCCCCATCAACCAGTGCAGTGTCCCAAGTTTGACTTCACAGTTTGCCTGCTGCATTAGCTGACCCTGCAG